AAAATTTCGGCCACCACTGTGTTCGTCTCATCGAGAAGCAGTAGCACATTTGAAAAAATCCGAGGTCAACGTCATAGGTCAAGGTCAAGGTCACTTTAAACGTTAATTTTAGTCCCCGTACCCTGTAGAATCTTTGTTTATGGTCCGATTTGAAAATTTCGGCCACCACTGTGTTCGTCTCATCGAGAAGCAGTAGCACATTTGAAAAAATCCGAGGCCAAGGTCATAGGTCAAGGTCAAGGTCACTTTAAACGTTAATTTTAGTCCCCGTACCCTGTAGAATCTTTGTTTATGGTCCGATTAAAAAATTTCGGCCACCACTGTGTTCGTCTCATCGAGAAGCAGTAGCACATTCGAAAAAATCCGAGGTCAAGGTCATAGGTCAAGGTCAAGGTCACTTTAAACGTTGATTTTAGTCCCCGTACCCTGTAGAATCTTTGTTTATGGTCCGATTTGAAAATTTCGGCCACCACTGTGTTCGTCTCATCGAGAAGCAGTAGTACATTCGAAAAAATCCGAGGTCAAGGTCATAGGTCAAGGTCAAGGTCACTTTAAACGTTAATTTTAGTCCCCGTACCCTGTAGAATCTTTGTTTATGGTCTGATTTGAAAATTTCGGCCACCACTGTGTTCGTCTCATCGAGAAGCAGTAGCACATTCGAAAAAATCCGAGGTCAAGGTCATAGGTCAAGGTCAAGGTCACTTTAAAAATCGCCGTACCCTATAAAATCTTCATTTTTGGAGCTATCGGAAAATTTCGGCCACCACTGTGTTCGTCTCATCGAGAAGCAGTAGCACATTTGAAAAAATCCGACGTCAAGGTCATAGGTCAAGGTCAAGGTCACTTTAAACGTTAATTTTAGTCCCCGTACCCTGTAGAATCTTTGTTTATGGTCCGATTTGAAAATTTCGGCCACCACTGTGTTCGTCTCATCGAGAAGCAGTAGCACATTTGAAAAAATCCGAGGTCAAGGTCATATGTCAAGGTCAAGGTCACTTTAAACGTTAATTTTAGTCCCCGTCCCCTGTATAATCTTTGTTTATGGTCCGAGTTAAAAATTTCGGCCACCACTGTGTTCGTCTCATCGAGAAGCAGTAGCTCATTCGAAAAAATCCGAGGTCAAGGTCATAGGTCAAGGTCAAAGTCACTTTAAACGTTAATTTTAGTCCCTGTACCCTGTAGAATCTTTGTTTATGGTCCGATTTGAAAATTTCGGCCACCACTGTGTTCGTCTCATCGAGAAGCAGTAGCACATTCGAAAAAATCCGAGGTCAAGGTCATAGGTCAAGGTCAAGGTCACTTTAAACGTTAATTTTAGTCCCCGTACCCTGTATAATCTTTGTTTATGGTCCGATTTGAAAATTTCGGCCACCACTGTGTTCGTCTCATCGAGAAGCAGTAGCACATTCGAAAAATCCGAGGTCAAGGTCATAGGTCAAGGTCAAGGTCACTTTAAACGTTAATTTTAGTCCCCGTACCCTGTAGAATCTTTGTTTATGGTCCGATTTGAAAAAAAGAATCTTTGTTTATGGTCCGATTTGAAAATTTCGGCCACCACTGTGTTCGCCACCACCACAGTGGTGGCTGAAATTTTCAAATCGGACCATAAATAAAGATTCTACAGGGTACGGGGACTAAAATTAACGTTTAAAATGACCTTGACCTTGATCTATGACCTTGACCTCGGATTTTTTCAAATGTGCTACTGCTTCTCGATGAGACGAACACAGTGGTGGCCGAAATTTTCAAATCGGACCATAAACAAAGATTCTACAGGGTACGGGGTTTCAAATTAACGTTTAAAGTGACCTTGACCTTGACCTATGACCTTGACCTCGGATTTTTTCAAATGTGCTACTGCTTCTCGATGAGACGAACACAGTGGTGGCCGAAATTTTCAAATCGGACCATAAATAAAGATTCTACAGGGTACGGGGACTAAAATTAACGTTTAAAGTGACCTTGACCTTGACCTATGACCTTGACCTCGGATTTTTTTTCGAATGTGCTACTGCTTCTCGATGAGACGAACACAGTGGTGGCCGAAATTTTCAAATCAGACCATAAACAAAGATTCTACAGGGTACGGGGACTAAAATTAACTTTTAAAGTGACCTTGACCTTGACCTATGACCTTGACCTCGGATTTTTTCAAATGTGCTACTGCTTCTCGATGAGACGAACACAGTGGTGGCCGAAATTTTCAAATCGGACCATAAACAAAGATTCTACAGGGTACGGGGACTAAAATTAACGTTTAAAGTGACCCTGACCTTGACCTATGACTTTAACCTCGGATTTTTTCAAATGTGCTACTGCTTCTCGATGAGACGAACACAGTGGTGGCCGAAATTTTCAAATCGGACCATAAACAAAGATTCTACAGGGTACGGGGACTAAAATTAACGTTTAAAGTGACCTTGACCTTGACTTATGACCTTGACCTCGGATGTTTTCGAATGTGCTACTGCTTCTCGATGAGACGAACACAGTGGTTGCCGAAATTTTCAAATCGAACCATAAACAAAGATTCTACAGGGTACGGGGACAAAAATTAACGTTTAAAGTGACCTTGACCTTGACCTATGACCTTGACCTCGGATTTTTTCAAATATGCTACTGCTTCTCGATGAGACGAACACAGTGGTGGCCGAAATTTTCCGATAGCTCCAAAAATGAAGATTTTATAGGGTACGGCGATTTTTAAAGTGACCTTGACCTTGACCTATGACCTTGACCTCGGATTTTTTTAAATGTGCTACTGCTTCTCGATGAGAAGAACACACTGGTGGTCGAATTTTTCAAATCGGACCATAAACAAAAATTCTACAGGGTACGCAGTATTTTGACCTCTCAAGGTCAAACGGTTTGACCTAGGAAAAAAAGGTCACCATTTTCGAACTCAGCGTGCCATGGGCTATCTGTATGCCAATTTTGAGCGAAATCATTACTCGAATTTGAATCCGAATACGAATACGACGCTAACTTTATGGACATCTTCTGAAGCTTAGGAACGATTAGCCAGACTACAATGAAACTTTGAATGTAGCTTATATGTATCGTCACTAGTGATGTCAATTTCAGAAAACATATGTCCAATGTCTGTCCAATGTCCAATACTTACGTCGACCGTCCGTCCAAAAATGTCCAAGCCACCCATTTGTCCAAAGATGTTCGACATCTACGCAATAGTTTACACTCAACACCGTTATTTAATTTGCTTTTAATGTATCGTTACCAGCTCAAAAGTGGTAATCATATCGAAAGCTGAGCTTTCTAATAGCCAATCAATGTTAAACACGATTTCTTTATAAAAATGTTGAGGTGTAGCAAGCGATTGTCCAAAGTTGTCCAAAGCCTGCCCTGCCGTCATTGTCCAACCGAATTCCGAATTGGACATTGGACAAAATCGGAATTCCGAAGATTCAAGTTCCGATTGACACCACTATTTTTTATACACTTAAAATTTTGGATTTTATATTTATTTTCCCCAAAGTCAGTTTTTTTTAATTGGGCCAAAATCCAAAATTTTCAAAGAACGAGATAGCCATTTGATAGACAAAGTAGAGTCACGTGTAACCTTTTTGTTGCGTCTTGATTCTTTTAAAAATGAAGATGTTAGCGGCGTTTGTTTGCCGTTTTTTTAGGCGAAAATGGTGTGACGTAACTTAAACGTTATTTTCTCAACAAATATCCGACGGATTCCGCTCAAATTTTCAGGGAACGTGTTCAATTGATGTATAATATGGCACTGAGAGTTTGACGTCGCTGGTGTAACGCGTTAAAGGGACCCTCCCACCTTAACATTAGATTTGAGTTGAGATAGCCAAAATGGGGTCCCTGGCTCACAATTACCGGTTTCGGCACTCACAACATCGAGAAATGCCTTAAATCGGAAATATTGAATTTCAAAATTGCAGCATTTTGATTCAGAGGGGCTAATGCTTAGGAATACCCCTCTGAATGTGTGACGTCAGCGCAAATATCTAACGATTTTTAAATGTTTGACTAAAACGTTTTGTAGCACGCGGTGGTACCTATATGCTATTTGCGCGCAACATCTGCCGCAAACGCCGCACTTCTAAAATAAAGTCGCTAGAAACAGCGGAGATCCCAAAAAAGTAAACAAAAGTAAAAGTCTAATATCTTGAAAACCGGTGAATATTTTTCGGTGAAATTTGGTAGATATTCGTTTTCGCTCTTTCTGAACCGAGCGACATCACTTTCATGCCAATTCATAAACTTTTTTGAAGGTGGGAGGGTCCCTTTAAGAAGTTATTGGCGAAACACGGGAGGGACAGATTTTGCCCCCCCCCCCACCCCACCCCAGCGGGGTTAATAAACTTTCATATTTTTTTCTAAATCTACTGAAAGCATTTAGTTGGTATGACCTCTGTTGTTAAGTTATGAACAGTAAAATGATAGATTCCTATGGACTTAACTTTTGATGTATCTCGCTCATGACTGACGCATAATTCATAACTCGAGTGACGGGGAGGCCGGCCGTGACCCGACCGTGGCCGAACCTGACCGTGACCCGAGGGGCGAGTTCAACACCCCAAGATGACCTCATCCGAACAAAAGGCATATCATTCGACGTACCTGAGCGAGACGAATACGATGCTGCCAAAATCGCGGCTCTTCGGCCGTTTTTTGCGAAGTTATTCACCAACAACGGAACCGTACCTTGGGGCACTTGACCTGACCTCAGAGGTCATCGATTGACCTGAGACCTTACAATAGGGTACCATTCGCTGCGTAGTGCGTCTTGTAACGGTGCACGTGCTCGTTTTTTTCCGCGACGTTCTAGCTCCATCAGAGGCGAAACGGCGAGGGAGGGGTCGTACCCCTTCGGCCGTAGAAAAACGTATGTAGAAAACCAATAGGACCGGCGAGGGCTAAGCTACATTTTAAACCTTGTTTCCTGTAAAAACAAACAAACAAACAAACAAACAATGACACTGACGATAATATGAGCCACTGCTGCCGCTGCCCCCTACCTTTCCGAGCTGACGGCGGACTGTCCAGTCGCAGTATGCGTTCCATGCCGAAACTGAGGCCCTCGGGCTGTCCGGCGGTGGCCATCCCTGTCCCTCCGGCGGGGTTCGCGGCTCACAGGGTCAGGTCAGGTCACACAACGGCAGGGGTCAGTCACCTCCGCCCGCGGCCGTGGCTGGCGAGGGGGCGCACCACCAGTGCCCGCAGGCAGCACGCATCCCGCCGCCCTCGGAAAGTGCCGGTCTATTCGGAGGTAACACAAGTCACTCTTTCCGCCACCGTCAGCTGTGCTAGCCGCGGGCTGGAGAGCTCTGCGCGTGCCCGCCAGACCCCGCCCCCAGCCCGCTCCACCAATCAGCGGAGAGGAGACGACCAATCAGCCCGTCAGGGCGGAGCCAGCGCTGGCGGCGGTGTCTATCAACAAGTCAGACCCACTGGGTCAGAGTAGCTCGGTCAAAAGCCGTCCACGCTACATTGACACACTGGCAAGCTGAATCAGGGGCATTGGGAACCGGGGAGGTGGCTGCTGAACACATCTCGCTCCACATCTGTACTGAATACCCATGTCCGTCAAGACAGCCCATATTCAGCCCAGATTCAGCCCGGATTCAGCCCAGATTCGGGACACCTCCGATCAAGCTGAAACTCGCACACAATGTAGGCCATGATATACCCAATCCACAGTCCAAGTCATTCGGTGGCACTCCCAGCCGTTTGACCTACAGAGGTCAGCAAAGGTCACGTGGCCCAAATTTGCACAGCAGATTGTGGCCCACCCAGTAGAGCTAGAGCGCTAACAATGGCACCAATCGACTCGCCTGCATCTAATCTTACTTTCCCAACACTCATTTGACCTCTCAAGGTCATGCGATGACCTAAGGTCATTTGTGGGCTAAGTCGAAAATACACTTGCACAGCAGTTTTCGAGTAGATGGATTGACCGAATTCCAAATCAAAGCACATCATCGGGTATCCCATAGGCCGTAGTAACTTTCCTTAAAAACCGCTTTTCGATATGTGACCCCGTTTGACCTCGGCAGGTCAAAATGTGCAAATAAACGTCGCTCAATACGTCTCAGCCCGGATTCAGCCCAGATTCGGGACACCTCCGATCAAGCTGAAACTCGCACACAATGTAGGCCATGACATGCCCAATCCACAATCCAAGTCATTTGGTGGCACTCCCAGCCGTTTGACCTACAGAGGTCAGCAAAGGTCACGTGGCCCAAATTTGCACAGCAGATTGTGGCCCACCCAGTAGAGCTAGAGCGCTAAAAATGGCACCAATCGACTCGCCTGCATCTAATCTTACTTTCCCAACACTCATTTGACCTCTCAAGGTCATGCGATGACCTAAGGTCATTTGTGGGCTAAGTCGAAAATACACTTGCACAGCAGTTTTCGAGTAGAGGGATTTACCGAATTCCAAATCAAAGCACATCATCGGGTAGCCCATAGGCCGTAGTAACTTTCCTTAAAAACCGCTTTTCGATATGTGACCCCGTTTGACCTCGGCAGGTCAAAATGTGCAAATAAACGTCACTCAATACGTCTCAGCCCGGATTCAGCCCAGATTCGGGACACCTCCGATCAAGCTGAAACTCGCACACAATGTAGGCCATGACATGCCCAATCCACAGTCCAAGTCATTCGGTGGCACTCCCAGCCGGTTGACCTACAGAGGTCAGCAAAGGTCACGTGGCCCAAATTTGCACAGCAGATTGTGGCCCACCCAGTAGAGCTAGAGCGCTAACAATGGCACCAATCGACTCGCCTGCATCTAATCTTACTTTCCCAACACTCATTTGACCTCTCAAGGTCATGCGATGACCTAAGGTGATTTGTGGGCTATGTCGAAAATATACTTGCACAGCAGTTTTCGAGTAGAGGGATTGACCGAATTCCAAATCAAAGCACATCATCGGGTAGCCCATAGGCCGTAGTAACTTTCCTTAAAAACCGCTTTTCGATATGTGACCCCGTTTGACCTCGGCAGGTCAAAATGTGCAAATAAACGTCACTCAATACGTCTCAGCCCGGATTCAGCCCAGATTCGGGACACCTCCGATCAAGCTGAAACTCGCACAAAATGTAGGCCATGACATGCCCAATCCACAGTCCAAGTTATTCGGTGGCACTCCCAGCCGTTTGACCTACAGAGGTCAGCAAAGGTCACGTGGCCCAAATTTGCACAGCAGATTGTGGCCCACCCAGTAGAGCTAGAGCGCTAAAAATGGCACCAATCGACTTGCCTGTCTCTAATCTTACTTTCCCAACACTCATTTGACCTCTCAAGGTCATGCGATGACCTAAGGTCATTTGTGGGCTATGTCGAAAATACACTTGCACAGCAGTTTTCGAGTAGATGGATTGACCGAATTCCAAATCAAAGCACATCATCGGGTATCCCATAGGCCGTAGTAACTTTCCTTAAAAACCGCTTTTCGATATGTGACCCCGTTTGACCTCGGCAGGTCAAAATGTGCAAATAAACGTCACTCAATACGTCTCAGCCCGGATTCAGCCCAGATTCGGGACACCTCCGATCAAGCTGAAACTCGCACACAATGTAGGCCATGACATGCCCAATCCACAATCCAAGTCATTTGGTGGCACTCCCAGCCGTTTGACCTACAGAGGTCAGCAAAGGTCACGTGGCCCAAATTTGCACAGCAGATTGTGGCCCACCCAGTAGAGCTAGAGCGCTAAAAATGGCACCAATCGACTCGCCTGCATCTAATCTTCCTTTCCCAATACTCATTTGACCTATCAAGGTCATGCAATGACCTAAGGTCATTTGTGGGCTAAGTCGAAAATACACTTGCACAGCAGTTTTCGAGTAGAGGGATTTACCGAATTCCAAATCAAAGCACATCATCGGGTAGCCCATAGGCCGTAGTAACTTTCCTTAAAAACCGCTTTTCGATATGTGACCCCGTTTGACCTCGGCAGGTCAAAATGTGCAAATAAACGTCACTCAATACGTCTCAGCCCGGATTCAGCCCAGATTCGGGACACCTCCGATCAAGCTGAAACTCGCACACAATGTAGGCCATGACATGCCCAATCTACAGTCCAAGTCATTCGGTGGCACTCCCAGCCGTTTGACCTACAGAGGTCAGCAAAGGTCACGTGGCCCAAATTTGCACAGCAGATTGTGGCCCACCCATTAGAGCTAGAGCGCTAAAAATGGCACCAATCGACTCGCCTGCATCTAATCTTACTTACCCAACACTCATTTGACCTCTCAAGGTCATGCGATGACCTAAGGTGATTTGTGGGCTATGTCGAAAATACACTTGCACAGCAGTTTTCGAGTAGAGGGATTGACCGAATTCCAAATCAAAGCACATCATCGGGTAGCCCATAGGCCGTAGTAACTTTCCTTAAAAACCGCTTTTCGATATGTGACCCCGTTTGACCTCGGCAGGTCAAAATGTGCAAATAAACGTCACTCAATACGTCTCAGCCCGGATTCAGCCCAGATTCGGGACACCTCCGATCAAGCTGAAACTCGCACAAAATGTAGGCCATGACATGCCCAATCCACAGTCCAAGTCATTCGGTGGCACTCCCAGCCGTTTGACCTAGAGAGGTCAGCAAAGGTCACGTGGCCCAAATTTGCACAGCAGATTGTGGCCCACCCAGTAGAGCTAGAGCGCTAAAAATGGCACCAATCGACTTGCCTGCCTCTAATCTTACTTTCCCAACACTCATTTGACCTCTCAAGGTCATGCGATGACCTAAGGTCATTTGTGGGCTATGTCGAAAATACACTTGCACAGCAGTTTTCGAGTAGATGGATTGACCGAATTCCAAATCAAAGCACATCATCGGGTATCCCATAGGCCGTAGTAACTTTCCTTAAAAACCTCTTTTCGATATGGGACCCCGTTTGACCTCGGCAGGTCAAAATGTGCAAATAAACGACACTCAATACGTCGCAGCCCGGATTCAGCCCAGATTCGGGACACCTCCGATCAAGCTGAAACTCGCACACAATGTAGGCCATGACATGCCCAATCCACAGTCGGAGTCATTAGGTGGCACTCCCAGCCGTTTGACCTACAGAGGTCAGCAAAGGTCACGTGGCCCAAATTTGCACAGCAGATTGTGGCCCACCCAGTAGAGCTAGAGCGCTAAAAATGGCACCAATCGACTTGCCTGCCTCTAATCTTACTTTCCTAACACTCATTTGACCTCTCAAGGTCATGCGATGACCTAAGGTCATTTGTGGGCTATGTCGAAAATACACTTGCACAGCAGTTTTCGAGTAGATGGATTGACCGAATTCCAAATCAAAGCACATCATCGGGTATCCCAAAGGCCGTAGTAACTTTCCTTAAAAACCGCTTTTCGATATGTGACCCCGTTTGACCTCGGCAGGTCAAAATGTGCAAATAAATGTCACTCAATACGTCTCAGCCCGGATTCAGCCCAGATTCGGGACACCTCCGATCAAGCTGAAACTCGCACGCAATGTAGGCCATGACATGCTTAATCCACAGTCCAAGTCATTCGGTGGCACTCCCAGCCGTTTGACCTACAGAGGTCAGCAAAGGTCACGTGGCCCAAATTTGCACAGCAGATTGTGGCCTACCCAGTAGAGCTAGAGCGCTAAAATGGCACCAATCGACTTGCCTGCATCTAATCTTACTTTCCCAACACTCATGTTACCTCTCAAGGTCATGCGATGACCTAAGGTCATTTGTGGGCTATGTCGAAAATACACTCACACAGCAGTTTTCGAGTAGATGGATTGACCGAATTCCAAATCAAAGCACATCATCGGGTAGCCCATAGGCCGTAGTAACTTTCCTTAAAAACCTCTTTTCGATATGGGACCCCGTTTGACCTCAGCAGGTCAAAATGTGCAAATAAACGTCACTCAATACGTCGCAGCCCGGATTCAGCCCAGATTGGGGACACCTCCGATCAAGCTGAAACTCGCACACAATGTAGGCTATGACATGCCCAATCCACAGTCCAAGTCATCCGGTGGCACTCTCAGCCGTTTGACCTACAGAGGTCAGCAAAGGTCACGTGGCCCAAATTTGCACAGCAGATTGTGGCCCACCCAGTAGAGCTAGAGCGCTAAAAATGGCACCAATCGACTCGCCAGCATCTAATCTTACTTTCCAGACACTCATTTGACCTCTCAAGGTCATGCGATGACCTAAGGTCATTTGTGGGCTATGTCGAAAATACAATTGCACAGCAGTTTTCGAGTAGATGGATTGACCGAGTTCCAAATCAAAGCACATCATCGGGTAGCCCATAGGCCGTAGT